ACGAAGGCATTTATTCCGTTGCGTCGCGCACAGTCACACCGATGCTCGCTCCTGGCTGCAATGGACACTCGCCGGTGCATAAATTGCCGTTCAGCTGGCAGGTGTGAAAGTTGCACGGCGGCGACTGTACGGATCTGCTGTTCGGCGACTAGTGCAGTCGACGAACACGTGTCCATTGGCTTTGGTGAATCTCACCTGGCAATCCGTCGGCAGCTGCAGCCGCAGCGCCCCAGTCGAGTCGAGTCTCCTCTGTCGTTCGCCACGATCCGCGTCTCATACCGCTTTCTTCCAAGGACTTGGACTTCGAGCGACTTCACAATCCGCCGCCGACCGTATCCGACCGCATCGACCGTATCCGACCCTCATTCGGTCGAGTGCGATGCTGGCTTCGATGAGGCGAGGAGAAACGAGTAAGCGAACACGGTCGGGTCGGGCTTGTTGTTGTTTTGCCACAGATGTTCCTCTTGTACACACGTGTGGGATACCACAGGGTAGTCACGTGGCCTCGCGAACGTCGTTCGAAACTGTCGGCTGGCCAATGGCCTCAGCGTCTCTCGAACAGACTGTCTTCAACAGTGGCTGGCACCGCCGAACGTCCGGAGCAGCCGCGTTTCACGTGACACATGTCAATATTGACAGTCAGCGTCGGCCGTTTCTTTCATCACCGTACGCTGATGTATACATGACGGCAATAACACGAACCGAGCAAGCTGTCACGAACACGAACGAGCGACAAACAACCTTTTGGCGACCGGTAATTGGCGCGACCGGTTCGGTGACAGCGGTTGGGTATCGTTTCTAAGATTCTTGCCTCTCGCCAATCAGACAACGCCCATCGTCTGGTCGACGCCCCAATCTCGGACAGCGCCTGTCGCCAACCAAAGTAAGAAACCGATGGTCAAAGGGTGGCCCTTAGTCGCCTGTTAATAATCAATCAAAACGCTGAGCTATTTGAAACTGTGTAGCTGAGAGACGGAGACCCTCACAACAGTCACCGTGGCGGACACAAGGACGGCACTGCCTGCTGTTACCCCCCCCCTTCCCCATGCTACCACCTGTCGGCGGCAAACCTGCTTCTCGTTGTCTGCACCCCGGTTGTTGGTCGTGTTCGCTTTAACCGGCCGATATAGCTGTTGTTTATTATTCAACAACTGACCAGCTGAACTGACCGGAGCCGATCGCATCGGACCTAATCAAACAGCCTCGTTTGTCCTCTTCTTGACAGCGTTGAGTGCGCGAGTGCTTGCGGTAGTCATAAACGTAGAACGGTACCTCGCTTCACTACCACTACCTTATAATATGCAACGCCAATTTTGTTATTCACAGCGGTAACTCACTCTGGCAACAGTGAGCGGTGTTTCCGTAAACATGTGACAAATAATACTCCAGCTGAGGTATTTATTTTGGCGGTAGTGGATGCCATAAATGAATTTGCGCACAAACCGTGTACCGTAAAGTTGTTCGTTTTCGCCGCAGCTGCGTTCGGAAGATTACCGTTTCGTGCAGCCGCGCTTGTAACTATTTATGTTTGTGTATCTTTATTGAATGCTCGTCGATAACTCAGTGGCTTGCTGAAGAAAAGAAATAAATTGAGGTTATACCTTGCGCTGACTATTACAATGGATAGATCAGGTATGTCAGGACTAAGTGCTGCACAAGTGGCTCTCGCATTGGAACATGGCCCCCGTACTCCCGTTATTGCTACACGTTGGTTGCCGAAACCTCGGCTGATTGGGCGGAAACAACTTAGCAATAATTCCATGCTCAAGGGAATTTGCAATTAAGATAAAGATTGTCCTTCCTCCAGATTCGAACTTAACATTTCCGGAGTTCAGGGCTGACCTTGTAGGCACCGTTCCATCACGTCTATGCTTAAATTCAGACCCTCTCGACAACCACAACTTTAACATAGCTGTTTCGCTTTCATTTATTTATGCTTTCTCGATGTCATAACCGGTTCAATGTAAATATTTGAAGGAAGATTCTTTCAGAACAGAAGGACTCCTCATTCAGTGGTGAAAGGCATAGAATCGAGGCGAATAGATCTAATTACGCTGTTGCGCTGTTGTTTCGAACACGTCAAGGTATTCATCATCAAGACATGGAATGAGGGCTTTTGATAAACTGTGTGGCGTGTTCGAAACGTCGGAATAAACAATTATATTCGCCTCGACATTGTGCCTTTAACCATTAGATCATATGACCTCTGTCCAGATCGATTCTTTGTTTATATACGGGTTACACGTTGTGCTTTTTAATCAGCGTGCTTGTGCTGCACTAATAGTAGGCTTGTGCTTCTTAATCAGCAGTCAGATGGGTCATGACGAAATGCAGGCCTGAGGCATACGCATCATATCTGTATGCTTTTCACGTTCCAGCATGACTATACGAGAACACCATGCTGTCTTTATTTTAGCAAGTCAATAGCTACATGCCGACTGTACTGTAGCATTGTGGAATGAATTCACTGTTGAAAGGAGTTAGCAGTAAATAAGAAAATTTGGCGTTATATCGGAATTTGGACTATACAGTGATATGCAAACTACTTATCTACTGTGTTCCTTCTTCCATTCAAACGTGACGATGGTTACGTTCGAAGTACTTGTGACCGCAGAAGCATTTCTTTCTGGAAATTGGACACGGCAAGGTTGCTTCCAGTTTCCAGAGCGATCTTATCCTCGTTTTCGTTCCTCTGTTCAGCCGCTAATGATTTAGTTGGTTACTCGAGACTCCTTTCAGGCGTGCAGGATGCACTGAGTCTGATCACAATATGGTTTTGTGAAACTTCAGAAGTTCGCCATGTTACATCAGCGGCGTCGTGGCATTCGGACAGCTTACCAACGGGAGGTAGAAAACTATATTCCAGCCATCCTTAGTGCTCAGTCAGGAAGTAGCAACAGTAATTAAGTCTACAAAGACTTCAGAGATGGCATCCTCGCCAGTTTATTTTGGCGAATAACGCCTCTTATTAATAGTTTAGTTTGGATCAGTAATAGAAGAGCCAACTGCTCTGGGTTACGGAGAGAAACTTAGCCATTAAAGTACGAAGGAACCAGGCTTAGAAGGAGCAATTTGAAAATTTTACTGTTCCCTCGAAGGCAACCCATCGATGTTTCATTCGTGCAGTTAGCCAGAGCTACATGTGGGGCAGGGAACTTTGGTTAGAGGGTAAATCGGCACCATCGACAAGGTACAGAGAAAAGGTGACTGGTGGAAAGTGTGTCGAAGAATACGGTAGCTACCGAGTAAGCAGAAAACTCGCTCCGTCCTTACTCAAATGCTAGAGGTGTGCCATGGGCAGATTAGAAGGAGCGCTTTGCAAGATCGGGTGAGCGCTTCCAACAGCTACTTAACGGTGGTCCTTCAGATTCGCTAGGGGTTAGCGTAGATCCTCCTGCAAAACAAACGGCTTCGTTGCATCTCGAAGTGAGGAAGACTTGCGGTGTCAGTTAAGTATGGTTCGAAAAGAATGATAGAGAAGGTCTCTAGAGAATTTAAGTGGTATAACTGAAATAACATTTTCTCTTTTAATACCGGATTGAAGCGGTGAAAACGCCGTACCCTGCTTCTAGTCGCCTAGGGGACCATTTAAGCAGGTACAGCTCCACGGTATTTGAGCACCTGCAGTTGATGGATGCACAGCCGCATCACTAGGCAGGGCTGCACAAAGGCCCATTATGGTTGGAATAACTGTCTCTACATTTAAATGATATAAAGGAACACGGGAATCTGAGTGCTGTAACTGTCGTTGCATAATCCTACTGTCTATTCGCGTGTAACTCATCTCTCTGATTGTGCTGGAAAGGTTGCGACAGACAGATGGCAGTAGACTCCGCTGAAATCATGCTACCGTACTGTTGGGGTATTTTTACCCTGACCATATTTCGACTTTTCATTGAATCATCGAGCAATGCCGACTATTTCAATTGTTTTGGTTTGCCCGTTTCCTCAACATTTGGCATTTTCCTCTCATTTGGCGCAGAATATCATTAAACTATGTAGAGAAGTTTAAAATACTATGGAATATTTGAACACGTCATTTCCATTTTGGACGAGATGTACGTAGGAACTATGTCTACTGTCAGAAGTAGAGTTTTCTAAGGAGATGTACTTTCGCTTTTGCTGTTCAACACTGTTTTCAATTTTCTTCTCTGAAACAGTGCTGAAACTGGCAAACACTAAGATTTTATTCTAGTGGAAAGGCACAGTTCAAGATATCCGGTTAGGTATTATGCTGACCTGGAGAACGCAGTAATATTGTCCTGATGAGTAGTACGCGGAGCAGCCTCTATCACCTTATGGCTTCCTCTTTCCACACAGCTGCAAAGCCTTCCTGCACCTTAACGTCAGGAAGTCTAAACGTATTAGAAACTCACTAGACGCGTTGACCTATTAGTGCAATACGGAGAGAAGACATAGAAGAGGTCGACCAGCTTGAGTATCTCGACTTAATCAT